AAAAAAAAAAAAAAAAACTTCTTTAACGTTTATTTACTTTTGAGAGAGAGCACAAGCCGGGGAGGAACAGAGAGAGAGAGACACAGAATGTGAAGCAGGCTCCAGGCTGTCAGCACAGAGCCCGACATGGGCCTCAAACCCATGAACTGTGATATCATGACCTGAGCTAAAGTCAGACACTCAACCGACTGAGCCACACAGGCACCCCAGAACCAAGTTATTTTAAAACTTAGTAGCCCCACACTATCTTTCTTTGCTGATATGTCACCATCTCCTTCCACTCCACTTGCATCTTCGCTGTTATTACTTCTTTTTGAACGTATCAGATCGAAAGCCTTGGCAGCAGCTACAAACTTGGAAATGTCATGTTAATCAGTTGCTCTTATGACATGTGGTGCAGATGCCAAGTGTAGAGAAAAGGCTGTGCTTATCACAGCCTCAGAGGAGCTGGCTGCGCTCCAGTGAGGGGGCATTAAGTGACACAGTATGCCTTCAGGTTTGGGTGACCACCGGTATCTGATTTCATTCATAGATTTCTGCTTGCCCTTTAAGGGACTCTGCAAGTTTATCCCTGCTAGCCTAGGGGATAGCCTTGTGCACTGAACCCTGACTTCCAGAGAAGTTGGGATAATCTGTTTGGCTGTACAATACATAAAACGATTATTGTTAGACATAATATCTAAGATGCTCATAAACCGTAATGTTTTCTACTGCTTATAAGATAAACTTCAACACATAACAAAGATATTTGTGTCTGCATCAGTCTAGATGTGTAGAAAAATCTATTTCCCAAGAAAATTATGTAATGAGTAATTGCACACTAACAGCAAGGGGACTTATTGCCTTGGTTTGAATATGTAGTTTAAGATTTTGAGAGAACAGTCTTAACAACATTATTTTCATCTTCCTACCAAATTTTTGCTAAAAGAAAGTTTTCAGCGGGTCAGAGCCAGCAGGCTTTTTGGTTATCATTTTGAGTTCACCCTTTTCCCTGGCCATAAGTAAACTAAGACAGTTGGAGGGAAATGAAGGTTAAAGAATGTGTTTGAGAAACTAAACAAAGGTCTAACAACGACCATGTTCTCCTCCTGCAGACAGACAAGGTTGGGAAGGCTTTTAAGTACTTGGAGGCCGCCTTGTCCTTTATCGAGTGTGGGATCGCCATGGAGTCGGAGAGCCCGGCGTCCCAGTCGGCTTACTCGGTGTACTCAGAAACCGTAGACCTCATTAAGTAAGTGCCCAGTCATTCTGCCATCTCCCTAAGTACTTCTCTTTCCTCTCCTTTATTGCTTTAATCCATTCGAACTTAGTATGAAGACAACTTAATAAAGGGGAGCCTTAAAAAAGTAACTGATCCAGGACCTCTTCTTGGAGCCCAAACTAAGGGTGTAGCACTTCTAGATGATGCGCTAGAGCAGAGTGACTGAGTCTGGCTCTCTCATTGTGCCAGGTTCACTGTGAAATGCCAGTCCTTTCAGGGAGAGGCTGGTTTTTCCAGTTTGGCTTTCTTATCAGCTCACTGTAAGCTCCCTTCCTTATCATCTGCATTTCGGCAGGGGACTCAGTGAGGACGCAAGTCACAAGTCTACGTGGTTTCCAGCAGGTAGACAGGCCAGGGAAGAGACATGCCCTCGCCTGCTTTTCTGAATGGCTTGAATTACTGCTCTAAAGCCTTGGGGTTTTTTCTGCGTGGTTTTCATGTCGTCACATCTTCAGGAAAATCAGAAAGCTAAGACAGACATAGTAAAATGTCTTTGTGCCTGGGATTTTCTAACTGCTTTTGTTTAACCTGATGTATTTTTATGTTTTCCTATAGATTTATAATGTCATTAAAATCCTTCTCAGATGCCTCAGCTCCACAAGAGAAAATACTTGCTGTTTTATGGTGTGTACTTTTTTTTGTCTAAATAGCATTTGCTTTTGCCTCTTTTGCTGTTACAAAAAAGATTTTAAAATTTGCTTTCTTAACATGGAAATTATAATGAAAGGTGGAACAAAACCAGAAAGTAGTAGGAGGTGTGGTCAAGGGGTTAAACCTAGTGATAGTTACTTTTTATGAAAGGCATCTAGTACCATGTTATCGATGACTCAGTAGATGGTTTGGTCTTGTAACTTCAATTATGTTCTTGTATATTTGTGTTTTTCCACCAATATTTACTTTTGCTGATAGTGTGAATAGTGTAGTAAGATTGTTAAGATACTCTTCCTAGTGTAGAGGAGGAAAACCCAGTGTGTTCTTTAGGCTATAAGAGATTAGATGGCTTTCTGTAGTGGTGATACTCGTGTCTGTAAAGTAGTAATGCTTCACTTAAACTTCTGTGTATGTCCACAGCATGCGTTGCCAATCCATTTTGAACATGGCGATGTTTCGTTGTAAAAAAGATATAGCAATAAAGTATTCTCGTGCTCTTAATGAACACTTCAGCAGTTTTTTCAAAGTTGCCCAGGCACCATCTCCATGCGTTGCAAGGTAATGAAGAGTCTAATTTAAATAATTTTCAAAATTGAGTTATTTCTTTAATTACTTCTTGCTTTTGCAACCATCTGTATGACTTTGGCTTTGCAAAGATTGTGTACATCTGTGTGCTAATCTCCTTAAACTTAAATTATTATATTTCTACCTTTTTAAGGAATAGTTATAAGTCAATGTGTTGGCTTATTGAGTAATATAAAAAGATAATTACAGAGAACATAGGGTCTTTAGATTTGCCTGACAACAAAACAGAGGCAGAGCCAGTCAGAGCCAGTCTTTTCTCCCTCTAGATAGCATGTTGTCTTGGTGTTTCAGTAAACAAGAACAATCCAGAACTGTATGCCCTCCACCTCCTCTAGGATCTATGACAGTGACAGTGATATTAAGAATGAAGAAAGTTCTAACTAAATTCACACACACACACACACACACACACACACACACACACCCTACCCCACCTTGTGAACTGAAATTGTTCGTCTGTACCATAATATATTGCAAAGCAATTTTTGTGCAGGTGTTTTTAAAATAAAGATAGAATTTTCTTCCCTGTAGCACTTGCCTAGTATTTTTAAAAATTTGGTCATACTCCTTGAAAAATTCCCAGTTCTGGTAAGTTTTGCTATTTTAAGAGTATCACCTAGAAGGTTGCCCCATTTCCAGCGCACTCAAGAGATTCCCATATGGCCTCTCAAAAAAAAAAGTCCTGATTGAGAAGTGACTTTGTATCTCTGAAAATTTTCATGACCCTCACCCCTGAGATGTCAGACACATTATTTGAGAGAACTTCAGTTTGTCCAGTCACTATATAGCAAGCCACCTCTGTACCAAACCTTGTTGTTAGGTACAGGGAGTATAGCAGTGAACAAAGCAGGCAGGAATCTCTGCCCTCATGGAGATTCCACTCTAATCTTTCAAAATGCACGCTCTCCTGGAGACACTTCGGGTCCCTACAGGCCCCCTGAGGGCAGACATACCCAGTCGTGAGGCTCCTGCCACTGGCCCATCTTCCCATTACTTTTTATGTGTAAGTGTTCTCCTTGTGTTTCGCATTTGATGCACATCAAGGCGCTCATTAACTTGTATGTGCAGGTATGCAGGCAAGATGAGAGCAAAGAGAAGACTGTGACTCCCCTGACGCATAATACTTCTTGCTCAGTCTCCTCAGAGGCTGTCCTATCCTCATCCAGTCATTGGCTCAGCAGATATTTGTCAAGAGCCCACTCTTTGTGCTAAGTGCTAGAAATGCAAAGGTTGATAAGAAATGGTCCCAGCCTTCAAGGAAGGAAAAGGAATAGACAGAAGGGTATAATGGGATGTGATAAATGCAATGGATAAATTGATAGGTAAATGCAAAGAGACGCATTCAGGTGGTGGCCGAAAGGAAGCCATGATGTTTCCCTAGTGTCTAGAAGACTGCCGGGTACAGAGTTTTACTCAGTAAATGGGGAGGATGAAAGAATGAATATATAGAAGGTTAGGACCATCTTCACAGGGAAGCATTGTCTTAGTAGAAGTTGGAATTGAGGGTGGGGAAAAGGAGGGCTTCTGGGCTGAGGGGGTAGACTGTGTAAATGGAGTAGGCATACTCAGAATCCAGATTTGCCTGCCTGATTCTGTGGAGGACACCTTGCCTCTGTCCTGTTAATTTCTCTATTGGCGGGGGGGGGGGCGTTTTGTTGTATTTTATGAAATGCCCAAATATTGAAGGTAAAAGGGTGTCTCTGATCTGGTGGGAGCGATTGTCATTTTGGCTAATACACATGGAAACTTTGTAACTAGCACTGTGGTCCCAGAGACAAGAAATCCAAAATCTGTGGGTTTAGATGATTAACCAGTTCTCTTCTTCACCTTTCAGAAGTACAGGCACACCGTCCCCTCTTTCCCCAATGCCTTCTTCTGCCAGCTCCATGGGTTCCCAGTCAAGTGCTGGCAGCGTAGGGAGCAGTGGGATGCCTGTCACCATCCAAAACATGACATCTTCTTATGTCACCATCACTTCCCATGTCCTTGCCGCCTTTGATCTTTGGGAACAGGCTGAGGTCCTTACGAGGAAGAATAAAGGTAAATGGCTCTGCTGGTAATTCCTGGGGCAGGGGGCTTGGGAGGGAAGGATGTTGTTGGTTTGTATTTTATGTGCATTTTATCGAAGAAAAGGAAATGTGTAGGTATTTACTCTTTTCACATTTTGGCCATTCTGCTCCATCACCTAGTCACAGTTCTTTCTTGAGCTCTAGTGGCATGGAGCCAGATTTCTGTGGCTCAATCTTAGCAAAATTAAGTTAGGAATGGTTTCGGCACCTTGCGCCTTCAGGAGTTCTGGCATTGTTATTTCAGCCTGAACTGAAACTCCAGCACAGGGACAAGGCAGGTGAAGAAGGAAAGCTCCTGGCCGTCTCCGGGCACAACAGATGGCGTGGTGTAACCTAAATACGGAGTTGCCTGCTTGTTTTCAGTGTGCGTTGAGAAAAATGGTTAGCGACAGCGGAAGAAATACGGCATAGTGAACATTCTTGAGACTCCTTTGAGAAGACAGCCCCTGGAGATATGCAAGATTTAGGAGACGGTATAGGGTGTGCTGTTAGACGGACCGCTCCGTGGCAGTGCCAGTGACCACTAAGGAGATGCGTATATGTAAATGCCACATTAATGCCATTACATATTTTTTCCTGGCTGCAGGGAAAGCGGTGGCCAGCTGGCTGTAGCCACTTAATTTTCTCATAGCCTCTTAGAACTTTCTTTCCTAGCAAACAAATGATGCTTTTAACATGTTGGGATTGTTTTGTTTTGTTCTGATTCATGCATCTGCTGATCCAGTAGTGTAAATAGGGTATTCTCCAACACCTGCCACTGTGCCAGGCATTATGGATTCAACTCTAAAACCAACTCAGTTCTTAACCTTTCTGGTCTAGCAGAGGGGTGTGAACTAGCAGGCCGTTAGAGTAGATCGTGATTTTTTTTGCCATGATGAAGTACAGAATATTGCAGGGATACAGTTGCTGGAACTTTGACTCTTTATGTTTCCTGTATTATTTTTGTGTATGAAAATGTGTTTGCTTAGTTTTGGTTTTGCTTTGTTTGCAGAATTTTTTGCTCAGCTCAGCACAAGTGTGTGTGCCTTGGCCCTCAACAGCAGTTTGATGGATCTGGTGCACTATACAAGACAGGGTTTTCACCGGCTAAAACAAGCAACCAAAACACCTTAACGGAGGCCCAAGTTGATTTGATGGCTTGGGAACTTTTTTGCACATTGAAAGCCTCAAAAACAGTTCAGACGTTTGTCTCATCAGGACACCAAACCGAGAAGAGAAGCACCGTGAGATGGCCAGGACATTTGTCCACTTAAACTTTCAAGAACTTAAGTGATCATTGGTTGGACACGGTGGTTATGCAGGAGCAGAATGAGGAGGCTGGCCTCAGAGATGATCTTGCCTTTCCTAACTAAAGGACAGAAGTGCAATGTAGACTTAAGTGGGCGTATGAGTGGTCTAGAAACATTTCCATACTTTTTTTAACCAGCAGGATGCAAATTGCAAATGAAATGAGGAGAAGCAGTTTCAGCTCTGAGAGCAAGTTCATGTCATCTCAGTAGCCACCTTAGTCCATTCCCAGAAGGAAATTTTTTAAACAATGAATTTTGGTGTAGGGTTTTGTGGATGATTTTTTTTTTCTTTTAAGTTTAGGGGGGAAATACTTGTTTAGTAAATTCTAATGGTCATCTATAAAGCGTAAGTTGTGAAGGACTCCACTGTACCCCACTTTCTGCCCATGAACAATCACTTTGATAATACCAAGTATTGTCATAATTTATAAAATTGAAGGCAACTCCCCCCCCCCCCCCCCCCCCCCCCCCCCCCCCGTTCCCAACCCGCCTGTTGCCTGGAGTACACCGCATGTTCACCCCAGCTCCAATTTCTCAGTCACTGCTGCAAGTCCGCCTACACCAGAGCTGCGGAGGGAGGGGCTACCGCACACCGGGAAGCCATCTTGAGATCGCATGCGCAATGGAGGACGCGGCGCTGCCATCCCCACCACCCCGCTTCCGTGAAAGGCAGTCACCATTGACTATATTATGAATTTTCTACCTTGGGGAAGAAGGGAACCAACGTTTATACCTGACCAGATGATGGCTAAAGTGCTTTTTAATGTTTATTTGAGTAGAGCTGGAATTTGAGGTGCTGATCTGTGGTCTACAGTTATGTGGTAACTCATGTTGTCTAACCAACTCAGAATTTTGTCAGCAAAGAAAAATGAAATCTACTTCTTAGAGAGGCTATATTTTTCTGCTACAAATTATTTTATATTTATAGCAAAAAGTAGACTTTCTGAGCCCTTGATTGTCTAGGGTAAATCAACTCCCTGAGAGGATGTGGGGATTTGGGTGGTTAATTAGACTTAAAAAAAAAAAAAAAAAAAAAAAAAAAAAAGTCACCACATGCCTTCACTCCAAAGTGTTCTCAGTCAACTAGATTTGATTGGATTAAAGAGGAGCTGTGGCCTTCCCATGTGTTGTTAGTGCCATGTTATAGACATTTAACCAAGTTCATTTGGAATGACCTAGAATGAAAGAACACGATCAAAATTCCCACATAACCATAAGCACAGATTTTTTTAATTAAAACTTTGAAGGTTATTGGAAGCATTATTTTGAGTGCAGTGTTTTTAAAAGCCAATTCTTTATATCTCTTTTAGAAGTAGAATTTGCACATGTACTAAAATTGAGGAGTGAGTGTTACCTCTGTAGTTGGTTCATTTTTCACTACCTTTATCCCATTCTGCCCCTCTACATTTTGTTTCCTACCAAGAATATTTTGTCATTTTCGTATCATTAATGAAGAAGGGAGTAATGAACAGATTGAAGGTCCATATGAGGAATGTAAGTTTTGGTCTATCTTTAAGGGGATGTGTAGAGGGTGGGAGTCATGATTATTTTTCACATATGAACTGTTTGTGTGAAGCTGTTCCCTCAGTGTCTTATCCAACCTATTTTGTTACCAGTAGCTAGTTCAGAGGTTTCTTACCTCATGTTTAGGTTAAAGCCGGTGAATTACGGCAGTAGTAATACCTGAGCATAAGAATTTGATGTGTGATTTCGATGGACAGATTTCCTTTATTGATGTTCTAAAGCACGGCCATTTAACAAAACTTTTTGTTAAATGAACAGTAATTGCCTGGTGGGTTGTGGCATTGTGTCCATCTCATAAAATGTGGGAGACCAGACACCAGAATCAGCTTTATGTGATTATTTAATGCCTTTTTTCCCTTTATTCACTTGGCCTTCCCCCTCCCTTTTACCCCACCATTCCCCAATGCAAGTCACCTGTCAGTTTGGAAGTGTGTGTTTTTTAGGACAGGTTCTGATCTATGCAGATTGTGTTGGAGAGAGAGAGAGAGAGAGAAAGAGTGTGTGGGTGTGTGTGTGAGGGCGTGTGTGGTCTTCCGGTGAAAGACAGTGCTCCTGTGACTGAAGACGTTTCTAAGTCGATTTCTCAGCCACTTGTAAAAAAAATAAATAAATAAACCTGATTGCTTTTTCAGTGGCCTTATTCCTTGTGTGTAGCGTTGCCCCCACCCTGACCTTTATATTAAAAATTTATTTGTCCCTTGAAAAAACATTAATTTGCAGAGATCAATTTGTAGTATTTTGATCATGGAATATTTCTGATTCTTACTGCATTGTATCTAAAAGAGGATTCCCAATGGCTACTTTTAAAATAGAGTATATGAAAAATAGTGGCTGATGAATCCTTAATGTTCATAAGGTCTTTTTCCTGTTACAGTTGTATATAGAAGTCTAAAGAATTTTTAAAATCGCTGCACTTTTTCACTGCATGCTTAAATTCCCAAAGGCAGATTTTTTGTACTGAGGTAGATGGTTGAAAGGACTAGATTATAAAATGAGACAAATACAAAACATCTTAAGAAGTGAAAATCTTGCCTTTGGCACTACAGTTGTGTGTGTGTGTGTGTGTGTGTGTGTGTGTGTGTGTGTGTGTGTGTACTAAGAAATGGAAGAACACTGTTTTACTTTTTAAAATGTTGAATGTTTCTGTCCTTTCTGGAGATAATTAAAATGTGAATCACTGAACTTGAGATTTTAGCCAGACTAGGGGCCCTGCTAAACAATGAAAAACACTTCACTGAAATTTACCAAATCACACTGGGTTAAGAATGTGAAAACACTCACCACATGCTGGCTGTGGTGAGGAAGTGGGGGTCCAGCAGGTATAGTATCAGGAAGAGAACTGCAATAGAATGGTTTATCTGATATACTCAGTACTGAATGAGACTGAATGAGTCTGATTTTTTAAGCCAAAAGGACCTTGATTTTATAGATCTGTTTTGACCAAAATATTTAACCTTTTCCTGTAGACAAATTAGAACACATTTATATCCTTTAATTCCAGATCTCAGGCTGTTGAGAAGCTAACAGTTGACCCCTTTCTGGCTGAAAACTTGCCTTAATTGGTACCTTAAATATTCATGTTAGAATTGGGAGCTTATTACTCTTGTTAGGTTTCCTGTCCAATAATTTTTAGAACTAAAAAGATTAACCATTATGTCCTCCAAAACGAACAGCTCTTATATCTGATAGATGAAAGGAGATGTGTGTGTGTGTGTGTTGTATGTGTTACATAAACATTCACACACACAAGAATATGAGGCTGGTTGAATTGGATATATTTATTGTGCCTTTGTTGACCAAACATAATTTTGAAGTAATGGTAATTTGGGGATAATGCTGTATTTATTTTGATACGGCTTTAAGACCTGTTAATGTGGGTCTTAAATGTTAATGTGTACCTTTGCTCTTCTGCTTCATGAAGTGTGATGCATATTTGTACACCTTAAGGTAAATGAATCCAATAAGGCTTGATTCCGTACCTCTTACCACAGATTCTAGTTTTTTCTTAAGGATTTGTTTTCCCAGACACTACACAAATCTTTGAAAAACTTTGCCACTTCATCTACTACACTCTTTATCAATTACCAACATTTAAATTTTGCAAGAATATTTGGGCTTCTTTTAGAAACAAATGCAGAGATTCATTCCCTGGAAAGTGAGTTCTGCATAGTGGCCATGGAGGAGGAGTGTCAGGATTATGGCGGTACTTACTCCTTTGTTCCCTTTCTGTGGTGGGTTGCCTCTTTTGATTGTTTTTGGTTCTATTGAGAATTAATGGATGTAAGGTTTTTTCCTGTGCCTTTTTTATCTTCTGTCATTTTGTTTGCTGGAGGTGGACTGGCAGAATAACACGTCGGGGGATTTTCCTTCAAACATTGCAAGTGGTATTTCTACCATATAAACTTCCAGTATGCAATCCAGTTGTGTTGGTTTCTTGGTGACTAAGAACGATGACCACTGGCCATGTTCTTTAGTTTTTGTGATGAGTTGAAAAGCACCATCTACTTAAGGGAGCTGTGAATTTCCTGTCATCCTAGGGAAATCACAATATGTTCCACTGTGCGCCAGATATCAACAGGTACTGTCATGGGCAGAAAAGTGCCTATATTTCTCTACCCACAAGGGCAGGAAGAAGACCTACAGCTCCCCGTGAGCCTAGATGGTACTATATTGGCCTGGAAGGACAAGGGAATAAGACCACTGGCAGCAAGGTGGCCATGCTGCCCTGGTGAGACCGGGCAGTGGCTTGACCTAAGGAAGATAACTTGCTTTGCTTAAAAGTAGATGTTGAAGTGATGCTTAACACAGGCAGTATTAACTTCGCCTTTTGTTCAGGCCATCAACATGTATTGTTAAAATTACTGCACATCCCCCCTCAGATATCAAGTATACACTGTTCATGTTGGTGTGTGTGTGTGTTTATAGGCATGTGTCCCAAATCTTTTTTTTTGTTTGTTTGGTTTTTTTGTTTTTTTTGTTGTTTTTTTCCTGAATGTGATCATGTTTTGGATGATACCTGAGCAGGGTTGCCTTTTTTTTTTTTATTTATTACCATTATATATTATATTATATTATATATTTGTTGCTTTCTTATAACTTTAGAGGAAGTCAAATCTTGGTATTAAAATTGTTTAAAAAAGAATAAAATTGTCCAGTTGATAAATGATCACTGGTCTAAAATATGAATTTTTCTTTAGTTATTGTGGAATAATGTGCCAGCTGTCTAGTCCATACAGTGATTTTGTATGTAGGATAGGGAAGCAGTGATGCTCTCAATGGGAAGATGTGCAACACAAGGGG